CTTTTTCCCTTTCTTTTAGGTAACATTTATTATGATGACTATGTTCCTCGCATTAACCCTCATATTATTCTAGTTCAGGGTATTTGCTTTTCAATAAAGGGTTTTGTAAGTAGCTAAAAAAAAACTATTACTTCTGCCACTTTATCAATAGAATATATTATATTTTTTTTTTGCCATTTTTGTCTTTATAACAACCACACTTACTGTAATATGCTAATATTTTTTTATTGTTTTTTTTCCATTGGGCTATTCCATCATTGTGGGTTTGCTTTTCTGGAACAAAGTTTGGCTTGTTGATGGTGCATATTACCCTCCCTTTTGTCCATATCCCTGTGCTTTTTCCAGACAGAAACTTTATGGATAGTTATGGGAAAAGAGAAAACTTTTGGTTAAGAAACCACAGGGTGTCATCCTTCCTTTTGCAGACAATGCAGTTCCGTTGGATGCAACGCTCACTGGAACCGTTCATGAGTCCAAATGAGAGACAGCTCCTCTGATGCCATGGATTCACAGGTAGTAAAAATGGGGTTGCTCCCTCCAAAGTGTGGGTCTGCTCAAGCAAAACAGTTCAAGGCTCTGCATGTCTTGCTTAAAAACTATAGTAGGATTGTGGAGAAGATGGATAGATGGATTGGGGCTCCTCCACTCTGTCATAGTACAGAAAAAGCAAAGCCAAGAAGTGAAGCTCTTGATTTGGGTTTTCCAAGAATGAGCTGGAGAGTGCTGTGACCCCTCTGATCAGATCTTGGATAATCAGGTGACAATGGATAAATAAATCAATGGCAAACCATCCATCCAAAGGAAAAGATGGTCGGAAGGATGAACCTCCGAACAACAGAGATAGTCGTTTCTGCAAGTGAGAAAAGTGTTTAAGCCAGCTCACCAGCTGTGCTCAGCAACAGGTGCGGGACATTCCGTAAAGTTAACACTTTCCAGTCCACCACCTTTTCTGGCATCCCATAAAAGTACCTCTACCCATATAAATGGTATGAGTTGTTTTTTATTTTTTAACCTCGACTATAAATCTTCGGAAATCTTCATGCCGGTAACGCTCTCCTGTGCAATGATGGACAACTCTATGTCTGTGAAAAGAATATTTTTTATGTTGAAAGGGCTTGTTGCATCATTCTAGTCTTCAGCTAATTCTGTCCTTTCTTCGTGGGATTCATAAGAGTATTTTGGCAGAGAGTCTGGATGTGACTCTGTTCCTGTCCAGAGTTGCCCAAGGCCAGGTTTTCTTTCCAGATTGAATCCACTCCTCCTTCCAAAGACGTTTCCAAGGTTGTTGTGTATTTTAATATTCCTGGTACCATCATGCCAGGGAAGTATTGTCAGTCTAATCTCTCTCTGGAAGCAGAACAGGACATGCTTTTCCGATGAAAAACTTCAAAAAGCATGTCATACATGGGCAAGAAGAATACTTTTTGAGATCATGTGAGACGAATATAAAGTTGCTTAAGAAGAATGAAGCTGAACAAAAAGGAATGCCATTCTCATGGTCAAGCCAACAGCTTGAAACAATATGCTTTTACCAGATTTATATCCATAAAAAAATATCAGAGACAACTACATTAAGATTCAAGATGAAAATGTCAACGTTAGTCTGAGCCAAAGCTTGGCCTTGACAGAACTAAACCAGCATCTCTAACACAGTATATCATCATTATTTGTCTCCTAACTGCTGCAGTAGTCTAACCTATAATGAATGCATCACATTAGCTGAAGTCACTTTTTGGATAAATCTTTTGAGATAAATTGATTTGAGTTTATGCAGTAATTATGCACATGGGTAAAAAAAAAAAAAAAACAGAGACCTTAGCAGCTTCACAGTTCTGCAGAAACAACACAATGCAGAGAAACGTTTAGTTTTTAACTAGGCAACTGCGTCAAAAAGGCAGGGGTGACCTCAAGGCAGGGTGAGACATTGTTAAAAAAGGAAAGTATCCTCACACAACCTGTTCTGCTCTGTCCCTAAACTGGAAAGGAAAAGACAATGTTCTTTCTCATCCTCCCACTCCACACAGCTTTTTTACCTCTGGTTGTTTGTGAGAAATCCTTTGCAGCACACAAACCCCTCCAAAAATGGTCGGTTTATGAAAGTGAAAAATGGGCTGCTAGATGAAAACCAGAATGAATCCAGCAGGGATAAAAATACACATCTTTGCCTTTTGAACATTCTTGCTCTTACCCGAAGGTGGAGATAGGACACCTAAGGGAATCATATGTTTGATCATGCTAACATTTTAAAACGCAGTATTCATTCATGTCTGGATCTGGTTTACTGTCAGAAAAATAACGACAGCACAATAATTGACAGGCGTTTATGTGAACAGGCCATGTGTCTTCAGATTAGCTTATACAACTCCAGCTTTCTACTAATTAAAAACAATCTAAACTTCATTGATTACAAAGATTGTTCAGTTTCAAGAGTGACTATATTTTAGCCTACTTTGGCTAATAAAGTCAATGTTGTATAAATATTAAGAGAATTCAGTCTAATGACAAGTGCAAAGGCTGAAAATTTAGATCCCGGTCAAGTCATTTTTAAATGATTGACACTCTCTTGTCTCTTTCACCAAACATTTCCCTCATGAACTCAAAAAGACAATCTGCCTCTGAGCTTCCTCTGGCCTTTCATAAATCACAAGAGGTGGCAGCGATATCCTGCGCAGCTGTGGGCTTTCAGAAATGATGCCGGCAGTGTGGGACAGGAGACGTGGTGCAGCGTGGGCGTTAGCACATTAAACCTTTGCCTCTCCATATCATTCTTTTCACAACAATAAACACACAGCGCACAGCTTCAAAATTCAGTTATTGGGGCCTGCCATAGCATTACATAAGCAAAGGCAGTGACTGCCTTGCGAAACCAAACCACTGTTACACATGGGATTAGTTTGGCCATCTAAAATCAACCCTACTGAAAATTTCAAAATAAAAGTCTCAATATTCCTCTCAGGTTAGTGCATCACCATAGGCGGTGCAATAATACTAGCCTTTATTATCTTTTTCTCTCACTTTAATGCACAGCAAGGCAGTGCATTAAATTGGCACAAACATTAGCATTTCACTACCCCCCTCCCCAACATCAGCATTAGCCTTTTCGCTGAAAACAATCTTTTAGCTACTTTTCTGACTTATTTGCCATGTTTTATGTACTGAATGAACTAAGTCAATGACAAACAACATGCTAGTGATGCCCCACGTGTTATTGATAGCACTCACGCTAACATTAGCATTTTGGCTAATTTTAGCTAGAACTTCCCCAGATAAAGGGGAAGGTTCAAAAAGAAAAGCTTCGAAACAATTGTATTCAGAGACAGGCTTCTCGTCTTAGATCTACTTCTGTCTGTATCACTATGAGGAAATAGTTTGTCACAAACTTTCTTCATACCTTTGGTAACCAAATGTCCAAGGCCAAAACCCTGGGGGAAAAAATCAGGCTGACCAACATCTCTGCCAAAGTGAAAATTCTTGCAAGACACAGTGTTGAGGTTCGAAGACCTGCTTGGATGTAAAACGATGTTTTGAAATACAAGCATTCATAACCTCAGATACTGTTTGATCTATTTTCTAGTCTTTCCTTCTTATACTTTATTGCAGACATGACTTCCAAGGGTTGTTTAAGTTGTTAGACACGGCTGGATGGTCGCTGATCACCATATACAAGTCAGCTGATGAAGTGCTGCAACTCAGCCACAAGGACACTTCTTATTCTCGCTTCTTATTCTCCCATTGAAATCTTTTGTGAACCTGACTTCAGTCTAAATCCAACTACCAAAGCCTATTTTTTTGCCCAATAGCTGCAATTTTATGTTGGCCGCGGCTCAAGTAAGTCTTGCGGTCGTATTTAAGAAGATGATTTGTTTGGATCTGTATGTGTGTCCTTGGCTTTCAGAACTGTACTTAGGCTGTACAGACAATTTTAGAGAGCTAATAAATTTTGATTTCCCTAATTATCGTATTTTTTATCCTGTCTGTCGCTGAAAAATAAAAAAAAAGAGACTGCAATGTCCAGAGCACCACAGATGAGTGACAGGGCTAACGTAGATCAGTAATACTAAAATTAAGTGTGTTATTCTGCTGTAATATATGGAAGAGTTCTGATGCTACTACTCAGCTTGGTCCTCTGAATCAGCAAATACCTGATTTGAACTACTCAGATCGCTATCTGAGACCAAAAAAAACTCAGAGTGAGACATCCCTAATAAATCATTTGATGTAACATTTTGCAGCCCCTTTATGTGGTTCACTGAAAATGATCTGACTGTGTCTATTTGCCAGCCTGGTCCTTCCTTAACTCAGATTTGTTTACATCATTGGTATTTGCTTACACACACATACTCTGTGTGATTGTGGGGGGAAGAAGTTCTCCAAGCTGTGTCTTGGAGTTAAGCTAGATTATCTGGAACCTTTATCAATTATCTTCGTCGTACTTTTTCTTTTAAATCTGAGAGAAATAACAAAAGAATAAGGACAAATAAAAAAAGTACAGCTGCAGCTATTTGGCAAAGTTGGCACTAAGTGGCCAACTTAAAACAAAAACCCTTTTAATCTAGGAAAATTAAGCAAAGTTATCATCAGAACCTACATTAACATAAAACACTATCTAGTCTAAGACTGAAATACTGTCACATAAATTGGACAGCCACAATAGTCTGGATTTATTTTCTTTCCCATATCGGGACAAAGTGGAAAGAAACTCTGAATCATTCCATCATGTTTCAGTTGATTTTTCCTAGTATTGACACTGGCCACAGCATTCTCAGTAGGGTCTGGCTGAATTTCTTTCCCTGCAGAGCCAAACAGGATCCTGCCCAACTCCTCATAAACAGCAGCTGCAGTCTGCTACTCAGTTTCCAGTTCCTCCAAAGCCACCAGCACTGGATGGCCCAATCAAAACCAGCCCCGGTGCTCCCTTGCTCTGCTTTCACAGAGTGCAGGACTGAAACAAGAAACGTCCACAATCAAAGATCCACGGAATAAAAGAAATATCCTTTTACCTGCGTGACCTCAGAGGCGCTCGTGCTGCAGCTGGCACCCCCTCCCCCGCCCCGCCCTTCATGTATTCTCCCGCGCGGTCCGATGCTGACCTCTCCTTAAGAGGAGATCTGAGAGAAGAGGAAGACAGAGGAGAAGGTTGTTAAATTTCCCCTTAATGGAATGCCGGGGAGAACCTGGTTCAGACAGAGGACAAATGTATCACAGAGAAACACACCACGGTGTTGAAAAATGTATGCAGGAAGCCATGAGGGAGTTTGCTATACTGCCCCATTTACTCTACCTCCTAACCCTGTTGGAGAGTCAATGAACCAAAGAACAACTGCACCACCAATCACACGCCCTGTGCAGCCTATATACTGCAGCAAACCTGTTCCAAAACCCCAATACCCCCCCAATGCACAGGAACAATGTCCTTCCCAAAGGTTATCAGCAGTCTGGTGCTTGGTCAGCCCCTCATCCTGAGTCCATTACACACACAGTGTGGTGAGATTCCCTGCCTTAATACACCCCTCTTAGTCTCTTCTCACTGCTTCACTGCCTCCTTTAACTCCTCATACAAATCCAGCATAGGCCAAGAACACTCACCCACACTGGTTTTTTGGGATTAGCCAATCAGAGCATTTTCTGTGTGTTCGTATGTATCTCAGCTTTGCTGTAAAAATGACAGCATTTGGCTTGATCATTACACATCTAGTTCATCTATTTAACTTCAGTTCCCAAGAAGAATGCACAATAAATAAAACACAAGTTTCCAAAAAGATGAGGAGAAGAAGAAGGTAATGATTTGTACAGGTGTGTTAAAAAAAAAACTCAGAATATATGTCCATCATTTGTTAGGTTAAAAGCACATTCTGAAAATAACCTTTAAGCGGGAATTAAACATACTTTCCATTAAGCCCAATAAATGTTTTTTTTTTTTGTCTGGTCTAAAATTCTAATCCTAAATGCCATGTTTTCATTAGTGTAAACAGACAATCTCCATAATTAACAGAAATAATGGCTTTAAAATATGTGTCTGTGTGTAATTAAGCTACATAATTTGTTTCACTTAGTAAATTGACTTAATGAAAATAATGAACTTTAAATAATATTTAAATTTCCTAAATGGGTCTGTATGTACTCTGAGAAACGGAGCTTTTTTTTCTTGAAGTTGGCTCTCGCTCCATCCTGCCCGTCATTTCATGCCTCACAAGAAATAAATGCAGAAGTCCTCATAAGTCCTTCTCGCTGCAGAATTTGTTAATGTTGCAGTGACACCCACTTATAGTATCAATTGCATGCAGCGCCTTTGGGCACCACCATGTGAAATATTGTTTATTTGAAAATCAATTTCCAAAAAAGCCTAGCTCCCTCTGTTTCATTTGATTCTGTTGTTAGATTTACTCTGCAACTGCAATTTACTTCCCAAATAGTGCTTTTAAGATTCTAAAACGGGCCAATATATAGAGCTGAATAACTCTATATATTGCACAAAGTGTTACATGTTCCTCATGTAACACTCTGTTACATGAGGATTTTAAAAAATAATTATATTTGGGGTATGGCGACAAACAAGATGTAAATTAACTTTACCTTACCACAACTATAAATGCTGCTGAAGTTATCATCCACTTCACAGCTTCCTATTGGGGATAAACTCAAGGGCAATTCAACTGCTTTTTAAGAAATCTAGAATATACCTCATCATTTTTAGCCCAAAACCTAAAATCTATTAGGTTTTAAATCACGATACACTGAACTGAGATTTATTGCAAAGACTACAATGCCACATTTGTCGACTGCTATACTCCAAGTGTAATCAATTTATGCTTCTTTTTTTTTTTTGGAAAACAAGTCCAACAACTTCTAATTACGTAAATTAAACAATAAATCAAAATCACATGAATAGAACACAATCACATAGACGGGTTAGATTTCATGGCCCCGTCTAATCTGATCCTAAATGTGTGTAATTTAGATTATAGAGCCGTTATGGTGAGAGTTGTGTAAGACTATCCAGCCAACTGCACCAATCCTTCCTCCTCAGGAACCAAGTGGAGACATTAAACTCTGCAAACATTTTACAATCTATGCTGTGCTTGTAGGTAATATTTGTGTTTAATATAGAAACTGTAAGATAAATTAGGTACATCTGCATGGTTGTGAGAAATTTATGAAGGGGCACAATATTATAAATTAAACAGATTATAATTAAAAGATTTTAGAATTATGTAACTTAAGATCCACACATATCACAAAGCTAAACCAAGTCAGAAATTGGGAGTTTTGTCTTGTTATTGGGCTGACAAGACAAAATGTTCCTCAATGTTCTGAAGGTTATAGCAACTGACAGCAACAAGTCCCGGAGGAGGATGCAACATTCGTCTTTCTGTTTCACCTACAACATCGGAAACAAACTTTCTAATGCTCAAGCTGACTTCTTATCAGAGTTTACAGCACTGAGCTATAAAAAATAAAGTTAATAATTTGTCTTATTGAACCCAGTGGAAGAAATCAAGATGATAGAAATTAACTGCATGCCGAAATTCTTTGAAATGCAGCTAAAATGATCAACAGTGATGAAATTTGCTTTGTTCTTGGAACTATATCTCTCTCTCATCTGCTGATATTCAGAAAAGAACAAAGATATTGTTTAGAAAGAAGGAGCGCGCGGAGAAAACCGAACACCCCCTCCGTACAACACAACACCTGCTCGCTCATTTAATCCACCAGAAGAAGGCAACACACTGAAGAACATAATGTGGGAAGAGGGGGTTGACTTTGGACGGAGGCCAAAAAACCAAGAGGACGGGGGGAGGAGAAAACCATAAATACGCAGGGAGGCGAGCAGGTGTTGCAGACAAATGTGATTTACAGCTTCTAAGTCTCATACACTGCTGACAGGTAAGCCTATTAGGTTGATATTACACAGCTATAACACACACACCAGCGGACCCTTTTAAAAGCATTTGTGTACTCAGTGTGCAAGGGTGACCTGTTAAAGAGTGATTACGTCGAGTTGTTAAGGCAGCTGTACGTTTACTTCCTTATTGTTTTATTTTGGTTTTCCTTTTTATTTAAGATGATCGTAGTCAGTAGCAGTGAAACCTAATTCCGCTTTATTGCAGGTCAGATGAAATTGGAGGTTAAAAGAAGAGTAAATTAATGTTTTGTTCTCATGCCCTAAAAGTCTTTTAAAAAGCAAACTGAGAAGCGAATGCTTCGACTGCGACCTTTTTTTTTTTTCTTTTTTCTTTTTTGCATATTGGAAACTGCCAGGGAGCAATCACCCTGGAATGCAAACATTTATGAGAAACTAAATGCGCTAGAACACCGAGATTCGCAATCGAATTTCACTTGTAATGCTGCATGAGAGACAACCAGACTAGAGGAAAATTGCTACCACTTGAGCAGCTCGCTACAGATGGTGTTGAGAGCAACACGCCACAAAGCAATACGTTCCTTAATAACGTGGTGAATGTCGCAGTAAAAGGCTCCGCGGTAGCTTCTGCATACTCAAACTCTTTTTTTTTTTTTTTCTCTCTTCACCCCTCCTGTCAGAAGTGCAAACTCTTTCATCCTGGATGTAAGAGTCTGCAGTAAGAAATCCTCAAAGAGACTAATCGTGTTAAATGAGGTTTGTGTCTAGCCGTGACTTCTGAGCCTGTGTGCAGCAACGTCGGCTGGGGGTTGTAACGGAGACTCCAATTTTTCGTCACCCCTTAAAATCTGAGCTAACTCTCTGCAAAAGCCAGGAGATCTCTATTTTACGACGTCGGTTAGGTTTTAACACTTGACCAGGGTTAGGTAAGATTAACAAATTTTCTGTGAAAAACTCTTTAAAGTGATGCGCATTATAAAGCCAAAGTTTGTCTGACAAAAGCCCCTAACGCTGTGATGTTTGATTTAGCTTTCTGCAGGGAATCCTCCTCTCTAGTGGCTACTCATTGACAAGCTCACTAATGTGTGCACATGTGTACATAAACACACCTTATCATCTGGGACTGAGGAAGCAGGAGGGCTATAAAGGCCAACCTCATCTCCTTAAAAACAGGCCTCACTGTCCCTGGGTGTCTTAACACAACTCATCAACTGTTAAACCAGAGAGAGAAAGGCCGAGCAGTAAAAATCAATGCCCCCAGCACAGCAAACGCCCATCAATTATGCTTGGTGGAGGAGGAAAGAGCAAGAATTTGCAATTGACAAGAAGCAAACAGAAGGAAAAGGAGGAAGGCGAGGATAAAGTCCATGTTAAGTTAAAAGCAACGGGCGAGTGCGTTGCCCGGGATTGATTACCTTTATGCAAATAAAAGAACATGGCGACCGGAGAATGCAATTTTCAGCAGCAGCAGCAGCAGCAGAGGCTTTGAAATCGATCGAAGCCAAGAGAGAAGCCATTTTCCTCCAGCCAAGATAAAACACTTTGCTATGAGCTGTCAGATACTTATCAGGAGGAAATTAGCAAAGGAATGCCATTTTCCCCAAACAAGCAGGTCAAGTGTTTCTCCCAGTGTTTCACTTCTTTCACTCACACCCAAAATTCCTCATCCTCTCCTGCATGACGATGATTAGTGAAGAAAACACTTCAGCATAGCATTTGTATTCCACAAGCTTTACAGTAGTGCTTTATTATGAAATGGCTAGAAATGAATGTCGTTTTTAATATTTTGTTCAAAAAATAATCCAAAAGCAGCATGTACTTGTGTTTAGCCACTGTTAGTCGAATAATCCCAGTGGAACCAACTGCCTTCAGGCTTTTCCCAAACTTTGAACTTCTCATGGAGAAATGTTTAGTCTGACATGTGAAAACAGAAAGAAGATAAGGAAAGACAGGTGTTATCAATCTAATATGACTTAGACTGAGTTGTTTAAAAAAAAAAAAAAGCACAGCCAATAGACATGCAAATCTGGTAGAGACAAACACAACAACACAAAAGGTCGTGTTGGACTAGCTTATAAAATTCTTAAAAATCCAGACTGTGTTTGTAAAGCAAAAAAAAAAAAAAGAATATTTTTCCGAGGTACTGTAATAAAGAGTACAGGCATCCATTCGGCATGAGCAGTAACAACTTGTTGTTTGATACATAGAGGATGAGGTCTCTCTTTCGCCTTGGCTCCAGGGATTGAC